TCTATCATCTATCTATCTATCTATCTATCTATCTATGCATTTATCTATCAATCATCTACCTATCATCCATCTATCTTCTATCATTTATCTATCATCTATCTATCTATCTATCTATCTATCTATCTATCTATCTATCTATCTATCTATCTATCTATCTATCTATCTATCTATCTATCTATCTATCTATCTATCTATCTATCTATCAGCAGATCACCTATCTGTCTACTATCTACCTATCATCTATCTATCATCTATCTATCTATCATCTATCTATCATCTATCTAATCATCTATCATCATCATCTATACCTAGTAGGAAGAAGAGTGTTCACATAATCCAATGATGGGATAATAAGGACTGAAAAATTATCTTCATTGATGCTACTTCATCCATGGCAGCATCTAGGCAAAATCAGAGAAGGCAAATCAGGACCAGCTGGTGCCCCAGTGGTACCTGAGCCCAGGGAAAATTTACATAATCTGTTGAGCCAAGAGCACACCTTTTCTCTACTGCCTGAGCATCCTTCTCATCTAAGCTGTGACTTGGTTGCAGAACTCAACCATTCCTCTCAAACTTTCAGGGAAGAGTGAGAGGGGCTGTGGGTGGGGGCAGGGAGGAGGCCAGGAACCGAGGCATCCAGTGGTGACTGGAGGAGGGGCTAAAATGGTACCAGTACTGACAGTCTTCTTCATGTTGCTCTTTGTCCTGCTGTGCATCCTGGGGATCCTGGCCAACGGCTTCATTGTGCTGATGCTGAGCAGGGAATGGCTAAGATGTGGTAGGCTGCCCCCCTCCGACATGATCCTCCTGGGTTTAGGGGCCTCTCGCTTCTGCCAGCAGTGTTTTGGGCTGGTGAACAGCTTCTACTACTACCTCCACCTGGTTGAGTACTCCAGCGGTCTCGGCCGGCAGGTCATTAGTCTCCACTGGGATTTCTTTAACTCTGCTACCTTCTGGTTTGGCACCTGGCTCAGTGTCCTGTTCTGTATCAAGATTGCTAACTTCTCCCACCCAGCCTTCCTGTGGTTGAAGTGGAGGCTCTCAGGGTTGGTGCCCTGGCTCCTGTTGGGCTCTGTCCTGGTGTCCTTCATGATAACTCTGATGTTCTTTTGGCGGACCCACACGGTGTATGAGGCATTCTTACCTAGAAACATCTCTGGGAACACAACCTTTAAGGAGTGGAACAGAAAGCTGGAAATAGACTATTTCATGCCTCTGAAACTTGCCAACATGTCAATTCCTTGCTCTCTTTTTCTGGTTTCAATTTTGCTGTTGATCAGTTCTCTCAGGAGACATACCCTAAGGATGCAGCACAATGCCCACAGCCTGCAGGACCCCAGCACTCAGGTTCACAGAAGAGCTCTGAAGTCCCTTATCTTCTTCCTCGTCCTTTATGCTCTGTCATTCATGTCCATGGTTATTGATGCTACAGTCTTTATCTCCCCAGATAACACATGGTACTGGCCATGGCAGATTATACTCTACCTGTGCATGTCTGTACATCCTTTTATCCTTATCACCAACAATCTCAGGTTTCGTGGCAAGTTGAGGAAGTTACTCCTATTGGCCAGGGGCTTCTGGGTGGCCTAGAAGGCTCTTTAAGGGCTCTTTATCTAGACCCTTAGAAGAGACTCAGGCATGGGTAACCTCCATGGAAAGTGAACTCATATGGAAATGTCTTCACAGGCAGACGTGGAAATAATACCATGGGTCTCTTCCTCTGGGAAGAGAGGAGAGAAAAGCATGGGAACTCTGAGCATTCCTCCTTGCCTAGGGACACTATTAAAATGGAAAATTTGAATCCTGGAGAGCCAGTATTGCTCAGAAGCTCAAAATACAAGATCTTTTGTTACTTTCATGTTTTCTATCCCCTTGTTATCAGTTAAAAGCCTTAATCAACTGTCCTGCCGTACCTCAGCCAGCTACTGGGAGTTAAAACATGTTTGTGTCTATAGCTGGAGGAAGGTGTGGGAGGGAGAGGCGACTGTGTTCTTGAGGACCCTGTAGCAGCCCATACCGAGCCGCAAAGGGCAGGAGACTGTGACTGCAGTGGCCAGGACTGGAAGCCCCAATCACTTCTGTGCAGATTCTTTGTCTCTTGGGAAATTTAGAAACTTTTGTTAAGCTTCCTGGAAGCGTTCTTGACGCATGCCTTGCTCTGTGTTTGATTTTCTCCTCTCTGAAATGTCCCATGTTTATTATTCCTTTAGAAAAAAACCCATTGTGAATTTCTCATTTTTCCAAACTGTGTTTGGGAACTTTTTTTCTCCCCTTGAACTAATGTCACAAAGTCACATCTGTATTGAATAAACATGAACTTTTATTCAGAAAAGCAGACTCAAGAATTTCACTTATTTTATATCCAAATGTCATTTTAGTATTTTTAAGAGAGAATCACCCTATAATATTTTATGTTCCAAATATTGTTTTTAAATTACTTGCTTCAGTTTTTATACAAGGGTTTTGAAAAAAGAATTTTGGAAAAATTTTTAATTAGAAATGGGTGTTTGGAAGGCAAATTAAAAATCTTTGCTAATTTGTATCGGCTCTTAGTTCTTGGCTTCTGTAAGGCTTCTCTGAAACTTGTGACCTTGTTTACCCTTATGCAACCATTCTGTCGCAGTGCATGTTTGTGTACAAGTGTGTGTGTGTGTGTGTGTGTGTGTGTTATTGGGTGAAGTATAATGTGTGATTTGAGCTAATATTCATAACTAAGTTTGGAATAAAAGAAACTGTGATTCCCAGTGACCATGCCTACCATGTGGAATCAGTAATATTTGGTGAATTAAAGCCAAAAAATTGATGCAACTTGTGAATTCATTGTTATTTAATAAATTCTGACGTGTGTGGAAGGCAATCGGAAGCTTTGGTAAAGGCATCAACATGTAGATTTCCGAGGCTGGTTTCCTGGGCAGCTGGATTCCTGATGTAGAGAGATTGTAATCTTCTCCAAGAGTGACAACAGTCTTGGTCAGGGTATATGTTGCCAAGTGTACATGGGCTCGTGGACTGTAATATTTGAAAAAAAAATGGTTTGACGTTTGTAAATTTAGGATTTTTCATAGGTAATACAGTAAAATGGTTAAGAACTCAAACTGTATTGATGACTGTATATAGAACATCTCCCTTCTACAGATTTTCTTTTGAGTCACTCATCCATTTTGTTTGTGCTTCTAGAGATATTTTGTTCCATATTAACACCTACCTAATGAGCCAATCGATTGACTTACGTACTGGTAACTCTACACTTCTAACCAAATGCCTTATTAACTACGTTGTCTCTGTGTCTTGCTTTGCAAATGGTTCTGCAGTGTGTATGCTGATCTGGCCCTTTGATTTCCTCACATCACAGTGTATTTCAGAGGTCTGCATGTGTGGGCACATGTAGTGTTTCTTCACCCTTTGATATGGATGCCTATGGTTGGTTTAGTCATATGCTGTGGTCATCCAGGTTACCTGTCTTTTGCTATTATAACAATATAGACTGAAGACATGGGTCAGTGGGTAAGAGAGCTTGCTCTGCAAGCATGAGGACTTGAGTTCAAATCTCAGCGTCCATGTAAAAAGCCTACCATACCTGTGCATGGCTGTAACCTTGGCACTGGGGAGTGAAGACAGGTGCATATTGAGAGCCTGCTGGCCAGCCAGCCTAGCTAAAATAGTGAGCTTCTGGCCTAGTGAGCGACTATCTCAAGGCAAAAAGACAGAGAGCAACAGAGGAAGACACTCCTTGTCTTTTCTCTGGCCTCTGCATGTGCATGCACTGGAGTATGTACCTGCACACCCTCATGTACATTCACCACACACACACACACACACACACACACACACACGCACACACACACATACTACATACCCATAAACATACACAAACAATACAGTAATGAATTATTTTCTACATATGTAATCTTTCATGTATTCAAATGAGCTGTAGTCTAATCCTATGAAATGGATTAAGTCAAATGGCACGTGCCTGTCTAATTTAGACAGCTGTCACTGTCACTCTCTTTTCATCACCATCAATTTATTTCCCCAGCAGCAATCAGCTTCTTTTCACAGTTTTTATTTTTGAACAACTCATTTGGTTAAAAGAACCCAGATATATATACTTATAATTTATAGGACTCATGATAGGATTGGCATTTTCATACATGTTTTGAACCATTTATGTTTATCTTATGTAATAGTCTTTTTTATTTTTTATATTTATTTATTATTTGTTTAATAACCACATAATTAGAAGAAGCATTTCATTACATCAGCATTGACATATTCAATAACAATTTTCTGAGCTAAGATGTATCTCTTTCAAACTTGGCTGTAAATTTTTAGGTTAACAGTTGAATACAGCTATACAATATTGTACTCAGTATAAACCCTATAAGGCATAAAATTAAATGAAGTTGAACCTTTAATAAAGATTACAATTCATTATTAAAATACACAGTTTCATACAGAAAAATTCATTTTTAATGCAATTGACACTAAGATGTTTCCACATGCATTTCTCATCTCTGTATATCTGATTATTACTGGTCACAGTCAGTTACTTTCTGAGCTCCTTGGCATCTGAGCATGGATATAAAGTCATCAGGTAGATTCCAATGTTAATGTTTTTCACATCTACTAATTATGAAAAAGAGCAAATTTTTATGCTTTTAAGAATTATTATTTTTTAAATTTTTTGAAAATTTAACAACCACATGATTAGAAGAAGCATTTCGTTACAGCTTTAACATATTCAGTAGCACACTCCAGAGCAAAGATACACCTCTTTCAAAAGTGGCTGTAAATTCTTAGGTTCACAGTTGAATTAGTACAGTTATACAATATTGAACTCAGTATAAACCCTGTAAGATATAAAATTGAATGAATTTTTACCCTTTAAAGAAGATCTCCATTTCATTTTAAAATATGCTGTTTTCTACATTTTTAAATATTATTTTAAAATTTTTGAGAAGACAAGTTTAATATGCTCAATAACAGTTTCCAGAGCAAAGATACAGCTCTTTCAAAAATGGCTATAAAAATTTTAGTTTCAATGTTGAATTAATACAGTTATACAATATTGAACTCAGTATAAGCCCTGTAAGACATAAAATTGAATGAGTTTTTGATCTTTAAAAAAGATCTCCATTTCATTTTGAAATATACTGTTTCCTACAGAAAGACTCGTTTTTAATGCTACTAACATTTAGATATTTGCACATGCATCGCTAATCTCTATGTATCTGATTATTACCGGTCATAGTCGGTTACACTCGGATTCTTGACACCTGAGTATGGCTATAAAGTCATCAGGTAGATTTCAATGGCAATGTTTATCACCTCTACTAATTAACATGAAACAAATTTTTATGCTTCCTCCTCTTTTTAATTTGTTGATTTTTTTGTGTGTATCTCAGCTACATT